TGGTTTACAAGAGAATCGAAGCGTGCTTTTTCCCTAAAAGACTGACACTGGAAATCATATTTTAACATCCTCCCCCCTTTTTTTTTATGGCATCTTGAATAACACATTTTAGCTCTAAGAACTTTGCAGTCTGGTTTCTTTCAAGTTTCCCCCCCCAAATTAAGCATTCTTTACACTTGCACTCGAACCCCAAAATTGCACCTGTTTTACCAAAGACCGGATTTCCGTCCTTGCTCTCACATAGTCTTGCAATATTATATTCCTTTTTCTGAAATTCAGGCCCTCCGCCTTCTCCCTCGGACCCCCTGCCGCCTTTCGGGTTCTCAGGGAGCCCGCAGGGTGCCCTCGCAGCCCCGCGCTGCGCCGGAGGCGGGTGCGCTCGCGCGTGGCCCCTGCAGGAGAGGACGGAGGGGAGAGCCCGCGGAGAAGGGGCCTCGCGGGCTGCCGAGGAGCCCGCCCAGGGAGCCTCGCGCGAGCCACCCGGGGGGCGTGGTCTGTTCTTCCTGGGGGGAGGTAGACCGGCAGGTGGGACCCCGTGAGGCTTGGGGTCGAGGCGAGGGCTGGCTCCATTGCAGTGTCTTCTCCCCTGGAGCCCCGGCTCCGCTTAAGCTTGAAGGTCACTTTTGGTGCCGCTCCCGCGGTGGGTGCCTTGTCCTGGGGCCGCTTCCCTTCTCGCCCCTGAGGGCTCCCCCGCTCCGATGGCTGTCAGGACCAGGGTGCCGCTGTCAGGACCAGGGTGCCGCTGTCAGGACCAGGGTGCTGCTGTCAGGACCACGGTGCCGTCAGCTGGCTGTGCGCACAGGCCGTGCTAGTTGTTCATTGCTGGGGCCCTTTCTGGTCCAGCAGGCTCCTGTTCTTTTTTTTTTTTTTAACAATTTTAGGTTGTATAACTTTATTTTAAATATATCTTTCTTGATTTCAGAGACAGGAAGGGAGAGGGAGGGAGAGAGAGAGAGAGGAACATCAATGATGAGAGAGCCATTGGTCGGCTGCCCCCCCCTCTATGTGCTCTGACCGGGAGTGGAACCCCCATCGCCTGGATCCTAGGTCGATGCTCAGCCACTGAGCCCCGCTGGGCCAGGCACCTGTTCTGATTAGTCAGTGTCTATGCCTGACTGTCCATGCCAGTTGTTAATATTTAGAATATTATCTTTGCCCCAAACCGTAACTTCTTGTATGCATCTACCCAAGTCCAGACACGTATATGTAATCTACCGTTATCTCAATTGCTGTCACCCTCAGGAAACTTGAACCCCGTATGTCCCAAATAGGACTCTGGAGCTGTAGCTGCTCTCCTGCCTGTGTGACCTAACTTGTTTACCGGGACCCCCCCACCTTCTCAGCCATGCACACCACAAATATGGGTGTTATCCTAGACTCCTCCATTTGCCTTTCCCCTCTCATCTAGCCTGTCACTGTCGCGGTCCTCCCTGCCCTTAGACGCCTGAGTTCAGGCCCTCCGCTTCCATCTTCCCTTGTAGAAGGATCCCCGCCAATCCATCCCCTGTGCCTCCTCAGATTTTCTTCCTAAGCAAATGATATTTCAATATATCTGCTAAAAATCCTTAAATGGATTCATAGTACTTTCAGGATAAAATCTGATTTTCAGACATGAACTGGTCCCTGCGTCCACTCCAGCCAGTGCCCCCGACAGTCCCCTACCCTAGCAATCCGACTTACTTGTCATGCAGGTTCAGACCTCTGTGTTCCTTTCGTGCTTCTCTCCACCCTGTCCCCTTGCTCATCCCTTGGCGAATGTTGTCTTCAAGACTCAGTTCAGGCTGGTCTCCTCTGACCTCCCCAAGGTCACTCCCTCTTGAATACATCAGCTGCACCATATGCCTTGTCTCCATTTTTTTATTTTTTATTTTTAAACTGCTTTATTGATTTCACATAATGAAAAGAATAATTTTTTTTCTTCCCCAAAAGTGGGTGAAATTTTCCTGCTGGACAGAGAGTTTTATACGGAGACAAAACAATATTCTATTAGAAACTGG